AACAGCGCCGTTCCAACGTCCCGATTTGGTTTCGCGCGCAATTTCTCGCGCGCGCGGCGCATGGGCACTCGCGACGCACGAGGCGAACGCGACGACGGGCAGTAGCAGCAGTTGCCTTTCGGCAGGCAGCATCCCCGAGACCAGCGCCAACCCCACAGCATCTGAAGGGCGCCTCTCCATCCCAGAGAACACCGCGAACGCGCCCCACCGGCCAGCTCGCGCCGGGGACGCATGTTTCAACTAGTCCCTGGCCATCACCACTAAACTCCCTACGATTGCGATGGGCCGGCAAAAGAAACGCGCGACGCACGTGCATGGGAAGACTCCACGGCGGAAAACCCCACCGAAACTGCATAGACAAAATCGCCTTCCGAACACCACGGAGATCATCACCTACTTCATCCTTGAAGCCAGGAGAATCAAAGCGAATGCCTGCCCCAGCATCATGGCGCCCTTCAGGGAGGGCGGCGACGTCGATTGCAGTGGCCACTTGGCCCCCTTTCAGAACCAGGATGCCCCAGAAACTCACGCCGCATGACTTTCACAGGCCTCGCACTCGCTGGTCGGTTATGGTTTCGCACCCCTCGGCCCGCCGTGGCGCGCGCCAATCGCCTGCAGAGCCTGAATGCCAAAGGCCACTTCTGCTCCTTCCATGCAAAATAGAAATGTTCAGCAAGAGACTCTGCTCGACGAAGTCGCTGTTTGTTTGCCGCCGTTGCTTGATTTCGCGAGAAATAGCGCGATGACGTCGTTGCACCCAGGTGGGCTCAGCATATTCTGCACTACGCACAATGCGAGGAGCAGCTGGCGCGATCTCAACCAAGTGCGCACGAAGAGCGAAACGTTGCTGTAAGAGAACTCGCTGCTCAACGCGGCCATCAACATACACAGCGTCGTCTTCCGCGCGAAAGGCGAAACAAGACAGGACCAGTTTCCGAACATCAGTTATGGAAGACCCCCACGCTCGATCAGGCACAGCTCGGGCCTCTAGACGTGACCATGTTGGGAACCTTTGGAGACAGAGCTGCCCGCCTTGTTCCAAGAATTGTTGCCTCCAGAGACCATCAGAGGCCCCCTCGGCGATGCAGTCGGGAGGGGCCAATGATCCCACCGCCTTACAATCGAAAACATTTGAAGTTGCCTCCCAAGACGCTCCAATATCCGACAGTCGGTAACTGAAGAGAGTCAGCTGCGGGGGGGGGGAGGGCGAAAGAGTCGCTCCTCGAGCTCGCTGTTTTGTTGCAGAGGGCGTCGTGCCCGCCTATGAACGCGCGTACGGGCCATAAGTTACACCTCTCCAGGAACTCCCTAATTTCCCTGAAGCAAAACTGTTCGGGCCGAGGGAAAAGATCACCGACTGGATTTTGTTCATCGGGAACAGTCGTCGCCGGAGACCCCAGCGTACTCGTCAAGATCTCCCCCTAACACACTAGGGCACCTAGCTGGCTGTTCAGAAGCTACACGGGTCATCGACTGTACGATCGTATCTACCATCCTCTGGTAGGTCACGCGATGCTTGGCGAAGGTCGGTCGGGGCGGGAAGTACAGCGCAAAGCGGGGGAGGTGGAACCTGCGCCACTGAGGAGGCCGCGGCTTGCGTTCGTCGAGGCGACCCCGCCCTGCGCTGAAAAGGGCGCGCGGGACAGCCGCGGGGCAGCCGAAGCAAAGCGGGCTCTTGGGCGGCATCGCCGCGGGACGCCGCGACATAGCCGCAGCAGCACGACTGAGGACGGCTGCGCAGCTGCAGCACTGCTGTAGCACAGCGACGGGGTAGCATGTCGGCGACACAGGGACGATCTTCCACGAAGGGGATATCCATAGGAACTACATCCTTGACAGGAACAGACACGGTCACGGACCTGGCGGACACAGAAAAGGAAAACAACGTGGAGGGCGAACGACAAGAGAGCGCCGAGACGGCACAATATGCACACGCAAGTCCGGGCATATATAACTCGGTGTGAAACGGCAGGCGCATGTGCAATTGAATGCATGCCCTGGTTGTTGAACAGGCGTAGGAATTTAAGGGGCATGTGATCTCTTACAAACATCAGTAAGAACAGGCGTCGGTAGGTCGAAACGGCGAGACACACATGGCCAATAATTGGAGGGCAGTGTGGAAACGCATGCGCGCGCGAGAAAACGCGCGCAACTGAACACGCACACGCGAGAACGCGTGCGTGAATACAATGGCGCGCGCATGAACTTTCACTGGAAGCGATCGGCGTGAATGGACTCAGGGAATCGCTTTGCCCCCCCATGCGTCGCCCTCTTCCTAAAACCATGGGTCTGAAGCTCTTCCCCCGCGATGGGCTAAAGCGCCTAAGATGGCCCAAAATGGCTCCGCGACGGCCCCAGAAAGCCCATGATGACCTCAAATATGACTCATGAGCACCCAACGTCGTTCAAAATACCTTCCAATTTGCCTCCGAGATGCCCCGCGGCCGCCCCAAGGCGGCTCCAAGTGGCCACGGCGCTCCCCCAGGAGGCCCCCGGGAAG